CACTTAGAAATTTAAGTCTTGTTTTTTTGCCTGTCGTCTTGTCTCTTGATATTTTTGCAGAATAAATATATTACATCTTCAAAACCTGTACAGAATTAGTATGCAGTGTGAATTTAGGACACAGTGTTCAACAGTGTTTCAGGAGATTGAATATGGAAAAATACATAATTCATTGCTGCATATTGCGACATTTTATTAGACGATAAACAATCTTGAACCCTACGGTGAGGACACACTGTTCACCCTTTTACTTGTAGGTAGCAAACAAATCCAAAGCTGTATTTTCTGCTTATTACATTTCAAAATTGCTTCAATCGTAACAAAATTATGCGCATTACATACTCTAAATGAACCTAGATATTGAGTACTGCTGGTAAAAATTCAAACTATGTGGATGTGGTGCTTCAGTGCAGGAAGAGAGATGTGCATTCTTAATGCAATTCCTAATTGCTTCCAAGAAGTCTCAAAATGTAGCAGAACAAATTTGGGTCATTAGCATCCAGGTCAAAATAAAGTGGCAATATGTCAGCCATTTCATCTGTAATTACATTACTGTCAACAAATTATTCTACGTTCGAGACATGACCCTGTATTTTAACTGTTGCATCTGTTTATTGGGTTTAACTCAACTAAAAGCCAATCATGTCTAAATCATGTCTCTCATTGGTAGTCCAAGATAGTTGGTAAAGCAGTGTATGTATGTGACTGTTTGCTTGTTCATTTTCTATATATGTGTGTGAGTGAATGTGTGGGTTCCTTGAAGTGCAGCAGCCCCTCCCATCCAGACACACGATTGTTGTAGTTATCAGTTTAGCCCATTAATTAGTGTAATTAGTCTTTCTGCGGGCAATGAGTGTCTGATATGAGCTGACGGCCTCCAGCCCACACGCCCTCTCGGACCGTTTACCTTCCCCGATAAGTTTGTGAGCTCGCTAATCGGACACATTAATCACTTTGGCCCCAGCGCGCCATTCGACTGTTTGCTGTTGCATTAAGACTTGTTATCTCTATTGGAGCCAATGAAGGGTGCGGTAAAACGGTAAAAGGAACAACCTATACCTGCACACACACACACGGGCACAGAATGGCCCTTTAATGACCATTGTTGAGTATTTTTAATCAGCTTTTACAATGGCTGGCTGTCATCAAAAATGACTGAACGATAGCAAAGTTTTGCTGTCAAAGTGCCCGGGGAAGTTTGCTATATCAAGAGGGAGTTCATTGTTTGAAGGAGGTGAGGGGGAAAACTTGATTTTCTCTCAATCTCTTTAACACCAAAATGACCCCTGGCTTGTTAGTCAATAAAGCTATAAGAGAGTCCCTGATAGGAGGATTGTTGAGCGGCTGTTTAAGGCCAGGGACCGTCCCTCAGGAAGCAGCAGCATTCAGGCCACCCTGAAGTCGAGCAGCTCTCCGAGCCCTTTGAAGACTTTGCTCTTTTCCACCCTCACTTCGCCTCTTTCTGTCTGATCCGTCTTTATCCCCTCTCCTCTGCCTCCCTGTCTATCTCTGTTTCACTCATCCTATTCTTCGTGCTCTCTTTTATCCCAGGATCACTTCTTTAGCCCTTTGATTAGCATACCAAAACCCCATGCATTTCCCCCATGGTTTAAGTGTTATTAATGCTAATTGGAGGCAGGGAACTTCTTTAAGTAGCTCTCTGCAGGTCTGTTTGTACACCTGGTGGGGGGGCTCTGTGTGTGTAGCGGTGTGTGTCTGTGTGTAGCGGTGTGTGTCTGTGTGTAGCGGTGTGTGTGTGTGTGTGTGTGTAGTGGTGTGTGTGCATGAGTCAGGCCACCTCATGCCCCAGCCTTAACCCCGTACACAAAGACACCCACACACATGTTTATGATTTACAAAAAATGGTTACTGTATCACTGGTGTGAGGCCTTCACATATCTCTGGTTCTGTCTGAGGATTAAAGCCACTGATTTAATTTCACTACAGAACAAAACCGGTGTCGCATTTCATTGCTAGCATTGTTGTCTACATTAGAGCTTTAACAATTTGTCAGTTAACTAATTAGTTTTCGGCTGTTAAATTAAATGTCAGCTGTTCTGATAACTGATTAACTGGTCTGAGGAGGTTTTGTTTTTTTTTTTTTTTAAGAAAAAAAAAGTCTAAATTCTCCTATTCCACCTTTTAAATGTGAATATTTTCTCTTTTCTTTCCTTTACAAAACATACATTTGAGGACGTCTTGGCTTTGGGAAACACAAATTGACATTTTTCACTATTTTCTTATATTTTATAGACCAAACAATTGATCAAATAATCAACAAAGACAATAAGACAATGGGCAAATTTGACCAGTAACTGTACTGATGAACTATTAAAAAAACAAACTGATTTATATTCCAGTGACTAATTTGCAATGAAACCAACCTGCTGCAATGATAATGAGCATGACTCTTAAATTTTATTTGCATTTTGACAGGAAAAGTGTTAATTTTTAATTTCTTATGCCTTGCCTGATGTTAAGAAGGAAAACAAAAATCGAATAAGATTATGTATCTATATAAACACAAGACTGTCGACTAAGGAATACCAGAGGACTGAGCTAGACAGCAGATTGCAGCAGAGGAGACAACTACTATCCTAATGTTCACATGTTTGCTCATTAATGAGCTGCAGCAGCTTCAACTGGCCAGTGACAGAAATCTAAAGTATTTTCCATTAATTACAAATATTATTTGTTTATTCCCTCATACATAAAGCTTTCTGTATCATATTCTTCAGAATCGGTTTCTAGTTAGAACATGTATGTCTGAACTACTCCAATATTACAGCATGTTATTGTGTAGAGCAGTTTTACAGTGTTTCAGCAGAGTTGTAGGTGAGCTGGTGTGCTGGAGCTGCAGAGAGCAGTGGAGAAGTGGTTGGAGAGAGAGGCGGGGACTTCATAGATCTCTAAGCAAAGTGAAGGTGTAGATTCTCAGGCAGGAAAGGATGATGTTCATGGATAAAAACTTCTTAAGATACACAGAGATGAGTTTTGGGGACTTTAATGCTCAGAATGTTTAGTCTTGCAGGTGGCCCAGGGTCATAACGTTGGTCAGTTGGGTCAGGTTGGTGTTTTTGCCCTTAAATGTACATTATGTAAAATGTGTGGGGATCTATTAGCAGAAATATAATATCCATCCATTATCTATACACCATTTTATCCTCTGTAGGGTTGTGGGGCAGCTGGAAGCAATCCCAGCTGACTCAGGGTGAAGGCAGGTTACATCCTGGATAGATCACCAATCTTGAAATGGATAATAATTCTAATAATATTTTTATTATTCACATGAAAATAAAAACCTGAAACTCTGAGGCCTTTATATCCACTGAGGGGGCCGGTCCTTCCTCATAGACTTCACCATGTTGCACCATCATCAACTGTCTTTCTACAGTTGTTCAACACAGACAAACCAAACAGCCTCTAGAGAGACCTGTAGAAAATGTTGTTTTTGTTTTGTTTTGTTTTTTTGCATTTTCGTAGCTTTATTACATGCTGGGTGGAGCAGAGTGAGGTGAGGGGTGCTCTATCGCAATCTGCACTCCCACCGCTTGATGGCACTAAACCCTACACACGGGTCCTTTAAGTAAAATATCTTGACAACTATGAATCGAGTTCCCATGACGTTTTATACAGGCATTCATCGTCCTCAGAGGATGAGTCAATCACCTGAATCACCTGACTTTTTCTTCCACACCAAACAGTTAAAGTTGTCACTCGTTTTTTCCAGTGATCAAAAAACTAACTTGCCACAGACATTCATGTTTCCCAGAGGATGAATCCTACATTAATATCCCCTTTAAGGTCACTTTGATGATCTCTGAACCTCCAAAACTTCTACTCAAGTGAAATGATGCAGCATTCTTGTGTTTTTTGCCATCAGAGTGAGACTAAACCCACAGAAACTGCCACATGCAAACTCTACATTAGTCCAAGTCTCATTAGAGTCGATGAAATTATTGGTTGAGATGACGTGTGAGCTGATAGGAGAAACTACAGTCCTCTTACTCGTATTAGAAATAGTGTAACGCCGGTAGCTCCAGTCGCAGCAGTAACACACTTACAATTACAGAGTGATCGGAGTGCATTAAACCTGAAAGAAAGCACAACCAAATGCATATTCTGCTTTCGCACAAAGTCCAATTAAGTTATCAGAGCTTGGCAAGTGTGATGAATCGAGAGCCCAGTGTGTGTGTGTGTGTGTGTGTTTATTTTATCATTAGGATATCACCGTCCTCAGAGAAGAGGCACTTTGTGTTATGCTACGGTTAGCACGCGTGGCACTGAAGGAGCAAATTGGATTGGTATTACAGTATGTAAGCCCGGTCTTACATCCTGATGAGCGCCGACAAACAAATTGGATTGGTGGCGTGTAAATCTGAAGCAGTTTGATGAGCCGAAGGGGCAAATTGAATTCTCAACAATGTAAATCTGTATCAGCTCGATGGCTCCCCGCCCGACTCCAGCCCTGCCGCCGCTTAAATCATGCGATTGTTCCCTGCTGTTCCAAGATACAATCTCTCTTGGCCATTTGCCGCGGCACCTAATCTGTTTTTGATGACCGTGTAGGGATGTAGCTATACATATGGGCAACTGAGTCTCCCTCTGGCCCGCTCCGCCTAAATCGCTTCCATTCTTACTTTTTTATTTTCCCTCTCTCTCGCTCAAACACACACACAACCTGTACAGTTGGCAGAGAAGGATTGCTTTGATTGAGCCGTCCATGTGTGTTGATTCAAGAGATTACTCAGATGATTGGTCATACTAATGGACCTCCTGTTTTCTGGGGAAAACATTTTGATCTCTGTCTCCGAGATAACGTCTCGTATTTATTACTCCTCCGAAGCCCTGTTGATGCATCATATTTATTGGTTTCCTTATTGGCTCCCTTGTGCAACGCTTTGCTCAGAAAGAAAATCCTGTATATCTTGGATGCCACTTGAATATACATGAATATTTGTCATGTGAGCTTTTCTTGTTTCGCTTGTGTGTCTCTTCAGTTACCCGTACAGTGAAGACAGCAGTCAGGGGAAGGAGTACATGAACACCAGATGCCCTGCCTGGTGTGACCGAATCCTCATGTCTCCCTCTGCCAGAGACCTGGTCTTAAAGGTGAGCCAAACTTCCCACTTTGTCTCCAATCACAGACTTTTACTTTAATGCCAGATTCTCTCATGTTTTAACCAAAACATCACCACTCTTCCCCCAACTACAATACAAGCGTTTTTATTAATGCCTCATCCTATTTCTACAACTCCATCATCCTTGATCTACCCTCCCCTCCTCTGTCACTTCACAGATGGAAGGATGAGGTGTCTTTGAATATTAATTTGCGGTGCTAAGCCATGGGTCCACCCAGACAGTATATATAGCCCGGCACTTATAGAGTTCCAATGGGCCCCATCTTCTTCATAAAGCCACAGATCCGTCTTCGTCCTCCCGAGAGTCGAACCCTGCCGGCCCCCGCCCGGCTTCAAATCCATCCCAGCATTATAAATGCCAGCCAATCTGCCACTTCTACCTCCTCTCCTCCTCCTGCAGCCGATGCTGCAGTCTGTTCACTCTTGACTCACTATTTTGTTTGCTGGATTACTTAAAGATCCGCCATACAGCCAAGCAGTGTTTTCCCAGATTTGTTTCACCCCTGTTTTACATAAAACAACAACCCTTTAAATTTGAAGGCTGCTATCTCCACCAGCATGATTTTTTTTTTTTAAAGATCCCTTAACTCAGGAATTCCAACTTTGCCTTCAGAGGCCCGAGTCTTTTCAGAACTGGAACACACAGGCTTTCATCTGTTAATGTGTGTGTGAGAGGGATGCAGCAGTGTATTGTACAGTACCAGTCCACAGCAGGGGGGCTGCTCAGGAAGTTTGCTTTTCTTTTGTCCCTGATAAATGAGAAATTCCTTCCTGATCTTTCTTCTCTACCGACCGAAGCATCACAAGGACTCCGCAGCCCGACTAGAACAATAACGCTTGCTCCCTGTATTGCAGCAAGTTGTTAAAAACAGTGACTATAAAGCATTTAAATTGTTTGTTTCACCCACTTAATGTGTCAGAATTATGTAAAAAGGTGATTCACACACGCAGCTGGTTTGTTGTTTGCTTCTCTTCCCCTCAAGCGCCGGCTAATTGCTTGTAATGCAGGGACAGAGTCGAACAGTTAGTGTGTTCACAGATTGGCTGATGATTCACTGAGCACACACACTCTGGCTCTGAGCATTACAGATTGTTGAGACATGGGCCCGTAAACAGCCCGGCGTGTGGCGTCATCTATCATGGCACGGTCGGTTAACTCGCCATCATGTTATTTTCTGCTTGCCGAGCCCTAACACGCCAAAGGTTGCCCGCTGGCTGTGCGGCGCGGCACCAGCTCCGGGAGCGCCGGTAATGAATGTTTAGCCGAGCGAGCGCTCCCTCTCTGCCGGAGGGCCCCGGGTAATTTGTTTATCTGTCTAAAGATTATGCAGCCCGAAAATCCACAATTTTATGCTGCCTTTGTAAATTATCAAGTGTGTGTTTGATGAATGTATCTCCGGCTGTGGGAGGCAGCGGCACGGGGGCCGGCTGCCAGACAAATAGAGAGGTGGCAGCGCGTGGCCCGCTCGGAAAGGTAGTGAGGTGGAGGCACACCGCGGTGCTGACCCCGCTCCACTGCAGGATTGGTCTGAAGTTAATTTGGGTTTCGCTTTATGGTTCATTCTCAACCTCTCTGTCTCTTTCTTCTGAAGCAGCTCACAAAGTCACGACTGGCAGCACCCACCACCTCTGTGTGTGTTGTGTGTGTGTGTGTGTGTGTGTGTGTGAGGGGGTTGGGTGGCTGTTTAAAAAGTCTTTAGTTCAACCAGACAAGTGTGATTTATACTCCAGATTCATGTGTGAGTGCGTCGCAGCTTCTTTGTGTGCAGAAAGTGATTCTGAAACATGATTCTCTCAGATAGGCACTCTGAGATTACAGCGCCGGTGTATCAGGTCCAGTAGCAAATGTCCACTTTGTAAATTACTCCCGCTTTTCATTTCTCCTCACTGCACTGCGCGCAAGTTTTCAAGTTGAAACTGTGCAGAGATCCTCGAGGTGCTGCTGAGAGAATCTGTCCGAACTTTGAAGGCATCCAGCAAAACTAATGTCTGTTTCTTGACTTATTTAGAAATGATGACTCCCAACAACAGGAATGAAACAGTTGTGTAACATGGTTTAGAAATATATGTTGCTCACTGTGGTTCATTTTTGCATCCGGCTCAATTTCCCTAATGGTTGTTCCTGAGCTAAAACCTCGCCTTACTTAGTCAGCAGTTACATTAAGTTTTCACTCTGAATGCGTCTTCATTAGTCCTCTCCTAATACTTCAACCAAGACCGAACCACCACCAGGTCACAGCGTGTACAGTGTGCTGCCCGGAAATCTCATCCAGATAAGCCGCAAACAGTGACACAACTGGTAAAATAATGAGGATTTTATCGGCACCTAAACAAAGTGTTATTGTCCCGACTGTTAATTTCACAGCCGCACACAAAAAAGCGAAGCCGCCGCCGCTGCTGGTTATATAGACGTTCTTTAATCTCCCCGCTTTACGATTCCAGGTGACTTTTATTTTGAGGCCGACAACATGATCTTGCTAATTGTGTTTAATGAAGCTGCTGCTTTGATTGCTCATCCGCGAGCGTGTCATAAAGCGTGACACGAGCCTGTAATGACTGTACCGTGTAAACACAAACACCGTGCTGCTGCTGCTGCTGCTGCTGACTCTGCATCCTGTGTGTTTTTACGGTGTCCAACGGGCCTTTCATGCAACAAATAAAACTGTTGTCCACGTTTCCATCACACAACGTTTGATTTTCTGTCTCTGCAGCCTGAAAATGAGGAGAAGTCTATAGTCTATGATAACATTGGGCCCAATGTCTGCATGGGGGACCACAAGGTAACAACAGGGGCTCTGCCCACTACCTCACTGTGTGTCATTGTGCTGTGATGTTGTGATTAAACTGGATGTTCTGAGCGTGGAGGGGAAAAGGGTTTGGATCATGTAAATATGCTGTAGCTATATAAGCTGATAGATGGTTAAAGGTTGTAAGATGTTCTGTTTGTACTGTTTGTTTGATATGTACCAGAAAGCTAATCAATACCTGCACTGATTTCACTGCAACATTTGCTTAGATTTGGGTTTAATTATCAACACATTTCATAATTCCTATAAGTCTCCTAATTTTCGATGTAAAGTTTTCCTAAATGCTGCATCAAACCGTGTTTCCATATGACTTTAAAACTTTTTGAAATGTCTCAAAAAAGATGATTTGTTTCCATGAACTGCTTTGAGGTGAACACATTAGGCTGCGTGTTGTTGTCAGAAGGTGGTGGTAGTGGCTTCATGGCCGCAATAAACAGAGTAGAAGAACAAAACCAGCTCCGCCTCTAAAGTTCTATAAATACTCAACATGTTAGCTATCATTCGATATACTTTTGTGTTACTCAGAGAGAATCGTCAGCTAATTTTTCCATCTCAGTAGGACGGGAAACCTGCGATTTAAACTGAAGAGTATTAGTTGTGCTTTTTTATTTTTATCAGGTGAATTTGAAAAGAAGTTTTGAAACATTGCAAAAAACTAAGAAATGTCATTTAGGCTGCGTAGCGTCAGAAGGTGGCGCTGTAGGCTACACATGGCTGAAATAAACAGAGTAGAAGATGCTGGAGACAAAACCAGCTGACAATTGCTAAGAAGAGAAAAAAGAAGAAGAAAAAAGTGCAGAAATTTTGGCATCTACAAGAGAAGAATGGGGAGAATTTTTTTTTTTTTCAATTCAATTTAATTTTAGTGATATAGCACGGTTCACAACATATGTCATCTCACAGTGTTCAGCATAGTCAGGTGAAGACCTTACAAATTTTAAACGAATTTTAGAAGTCTCCAGGAATTGTTTTCAGTCAGGAAAGTTGCCATTCATCGTCCCTGTTAGCTGGTTTTCTCCAAGTTTCGTGCTGTTAAGAGACGAACACAATGAAAGAAGTAGAAACAGCTGTTCAGAGAAGTAGTTTATATCTCCCATTATGTGCATTATTGTAATTTGTTAATTAATTATGTCCATCTTTCTCAAGAAAAAGTCCAAAAGACATCTCAAATAATAAAGCTTAGTTGTGAAGCTGAAGTGTTTTCTATTTCCAATAGACTAGTTCTAATATGATAGTTAAATACATGTTGTGTTCCAGACAGGCTACCAGACTGACAACAGCAACAGTTAAATGTTCACCTGCCTGCAGCTTTATTAAAAAAATCTAAAGAAAAACATGTCAGTAGAAACCTTAAAACACCCAGAGAGCTCAGAGCTTCTTTTGTTTTTTTTCCTTGTGGAGCTGACTGTATAGAAAGTGTTTAACACTGTCGCTTCAGTCTGTGCCGTGTCAGACAGAAGGTCTTCCAGTGAAAGAGAGGCGCCTGAAGTCAGGTCTTTCATCATTACACTGTGTGACAGAGACAGTGGTGTGTGTGTGTGAGGTGACCTGAGCGCTCTGACAGTTACTGCAGCAGCCTCGGCTTCCAGAACACACACCACTGCCACAAGCACAGCTGCCTGTGTTTAAGAAATGTCCAGGGTAGTTAGCAGGCAGGCCCAAAAATGCAGCGCGGCGCTCTGTGAGTTTAACCTGCGTGTCATAGGTGCTCAGAGGGAGGAGTGTGGACGAGGAGAGAGGCTGCCGGGCCTGACTGTTCTCACCGTGCTCTCTTTGTCTCTGTCCCCCTGCCAGCCTGTCTTCCTGTCCTTCCGAATAACAGCGGGGGCAGGTAAACCTAATGCAAATAAGCACAAGTGTTGTGTGGTGCAGTGATGTCGTGGTAAATATTATTTTTTTCTTTATTATAATTCTTCCCATTGTTGCCACTGTTTGCTTTGATTTGCTTGATTTTTCATTACATCTCACCAGGCCACTGCGCCTGTTTCAAGAGTTTTATTCCAACAAAATAAAACATCACGAGTGGACAGACTGTCACTTGATTGCTGATTGCTTAAAATGCCTGAGACATTTTAAGACATTTACTGACAACCTACTGACATCTTGTATCTTAACTTTTAAACCAACGGGCTTCACCTCATGTTTCTCTGACTCAGACGGCGTTTTTTGCTGTTGAGGAGTAAAAACTTGTGTTTTTTTTGTTTTCCTCTGCAGGGAAGTCTTGCCAAAGGGGGGAGAACATATTCCGTGAAGCGCCTCTGTGAGAACACAAGAGAAACAAACACCACACACACACCACAGACACACACCACACACACACACACACACACACACACACTTTGCACAAGCGTACACTGAAGACAAACTTTTTCAGTAGTGCTGACCAGTTGCAGTTGTCCGGACACCTCATCCATATGAAAACCCGGCCGTTTTCTCTCCATAAAACACTTGTTGAGATGTGGACGAGCACCCGAGGGCCCGGCTCCAGACAAGACACACATCGCTGACCTCACCGTTGCCATGCAACCCCATTCCCCAGAGAAGAAGAAGAAGAACAAAAAAAAAAAAAACAGGACGGACGGACGGACAGACGGAGGGACGACTCTTTTCCATGCCACAGCCTCATTGCCAAAACTCTAATTGAAATCAGTCCTACTACATCCTTTTAGACACCGTACTTGCCATTTTTAGGTATGCCTCTATGTATAGAAGCTACTTTCCATACAGTATGTAAGGTGTTTTAAAAAAAGAAAAGTGCAATGCAAAAAAAGTTGTATATCTATATTGTTAGGTTTATTTGTACATTGGACAGTATAACATAGAGTTGTTGATGGTTTTAGTGCCGTTCTCTTTTCTGACCAAACTTTGTGGTCCCTTTGTTGGAATAGATAGAAACTTCTGAGTTTATTTCAACAATTTATATATATATATATATATAAAAATATATATATTATTATTTTTTTCTTTTTTTTTCGTTTGTTTCATTTTGTTTTTGAGTTGTTGTTGTTGTTGTTGTGTGCACAACACACGGCCGCCATGCCTGACACATCAGTTGAGTCTCATTTTATATACTGTACTTTTTAAAGAGATAATTTATAATTCTTACCAAAATGTTTATGCTGAAGTGTGTTGCGGACACGGAGCGGCTGGGTTGGTGTTCCTGCAGCCACAGTGACCTTTGAATAAGAAGAGAGAGAGAGAGAGCAGAGAAGCTGTTCAGTGATTTATTGCCTATCCAAGAATGTTTTAAGCAGTGCCATAGACCATGCAAGTATATAAGATAATGTTTCCTATATAGCACTCTCACATTATGTCATTATTATTCTTACTCTAACTTATTTCTATAATATTATGGTTCTGAATGTGATATTTTAGATAGGCTTGGGTGTCCTTAAAATGTAAACTGTTTTCTTTTTATTTTGTTTTTTTTTGTTGTTGTCTATTTTTGTTACTGCATTATGGTGCCAAGTATCCTACACAGACATGAAGTGTGTAAGAGTCTAAAAATACTTAAGTCAGATGGTAAAAGGTGTTGATTTTGAAATGTTTAGGGAAAAAAAACAGAGAAACTCTAAGGGCGGGGACAGAGCAGGGAGTTTTTATTTGTTCTCTATGTAGCCTTCAGCAGCCTTCATTGCAAAGAATTGGAGCATTAATGCGTTTCTTTTTTTCCATCGATTTCATTTAGAACACTACAGGTTTCACAGCGTGAGGCCGCCACACTGATCCTCCCTGACCTTTTTTTTTTTTCATCTAAATCACCGCAAGTGGAAATGATTTTGTGCCTGCTGCAGAATTTTATGTCGTCTTGTGTGATTTGGTTCGTAGGCAAAAAAAAGTTCCAAAAAAAAATCAACAAAAAAAAGCAAAAAGAGAAGCCCTGCTTGTTTTTGTTCCCGCTGCTCGTTGTGAGTATACTGTAGGAGTATAAGCCGCAGTTTTTATCTTCACTCCATCTTATAAAAGCAGATAGAGATTTTATTCTAGCCCCTTCTGGACGGCCTGGCCTCTACTGTAGGTGATGCAGTTCTCAAGCAATAAAAACCATTAGAGCTCAACCGCTGTTCTGTCCTCATTATGTCTGGTTTGATCTCTGGATACACACTTTTTTTTTTAATTATTATTTTTTTAAATCAACCTGCTGCCAGATCCTCCTTGTGTTGTTACAGAAGTTTGATCAGGTTTAAAGTGGCTCCAGCTGCCTGAACATTGGCCTCCACATCCCTCCTTCCTCCTTCTATGATCGACTTCATCTCTAATATTCCCTAATTTTTCCCATCGCACGTTTTCAATGCGCCACAGTGCTTTTTGCGCAAAGTAAAGGACAATTCTGTGCAGTTTAAACCCCAAGAACGAGCTCCTATCCAGGCAAGAGCAACAATCTGAGACCTGGAATATTTCATACAAATCCAAATTTAACTTCCATTTGGAGAGTAAGTGCGCGTAAAAATTCAATATTATGAACTTCTTCAATTTATGAGAGAAAAAAAAGAACTTTCTAAAAATGCAACAATTCTTTTAGTTTCAAATTAAGACAAATTTAGTTGCATTAAGAGTAAAAACACAATAAAATAAGATGATTAAAACTCCATTATTAGGTAGAACAGACGCTGTTCTTGTTTTCTTCACGTCGCTGCATCTTCAGGAATTTCACGGCCTCCGTCGGTTTGAGGTTTTTATTTTTTCCCTCTAGAACCGTTTTAACCGGCAGCAGGTGTTCACTTCATGCTCGGATTATCAAAGAGTCCAAAGTGGGATTTGAGTTTAATGACTGCTGAGTCCTGATTGGCTCCTGATTGGCTGATTCTGACTACAGGGAGGACTGGCAGCAGGTGTAGTAGCGGCTCAGCGACACAGGGGGCGCTCTGCTGCCACGGCGCCGCGCACTTTAACACAGCAGAAAGCAGCGATGGAGCTTTTTCTGTCTTTCTTTCTTTCTTTCTTTCTTTCTTTCTGAAATCATGGCGCATCCTCACACGACCCTTAAAAACGAGAAATTAATCCAAAATGTGAAAACTCTGGATTAATTACTTGTTTTTTTTTTCTGTATTCATTTGACTGAAAAATCAAACTTCCACGAGTCTCTAAAAAAACTCAACAAAACGATTGACTAAAATTTTTGTGCAATTTTCTTCTTTGAACAAAACCCCCAACAAAAACAAAGTAACACCAATAATAATAATAATAAATATATAGTAATAAAAAAGCTTTTACAATTACATTTGATCCGTTGCTTTTAGTTATTTAAATTCTATTCGTAGTGAAATGTGAACTTGTTGCTCAGACCAGAGTCCCCACACAGCAGTCCTCCTCATATGAGCCTCATTTGTGAAGTCAATTCTAATACAAGAGTAAATTATAATATAAAACAAAATCAGAAAGACCTAAATGAATATCTAACACTGACCTCCTGCTGTAATCTATATTGCTCTGTAAAATTTCAGTTGCTTCATAGAAGTAATTATTGGAAAACAATAAAATAAATGTTCAACCTAAATAAAAAATAACTTTGTTTTTCATAAGAAGATCATTTGTCATTTTATATAAAAGTCCATATTAATATTATTATTATTATTATTATTATTATTATTAATAATGACTTTTTTCAGATGCTCCAACTTTTCCAAAAAAATAAAATCAAACTAATTAAATTAATCCTTGTTGCCACCAATGAACTTCAGTTCTCGAGTCACGATCGTATCTTTAATTTATATGAAGCCCATACATGAAAACAAAAACCCATAGTACAACAAAAAATGCTTGTTAAATAATTTATTCATAATACAAAGTTTTTTTTCTTCCTATAACCTTCAGGGAAGCAATAATACTCTCTTTAGATCCAACAGAAACGAAGCTCCACTTTTCTATTCCGCTGCGTGATGAGGTAAAACAGAAACTCTTCCAAACGAAACCAAAGCAAAGTGATGTCGTTAAAACAAGCTGCTTTACTTTTTTCTTTTTTTTCTTTTTCTTTTTTTTTTTTTTACAGTGATTATTTACAGCATTTTATTTTTTATTTTTTTCTTGCGTCTATACATTTGTGTGCCGGTGTGGAGAAATGAATAAAAGAGGAAAGAAAAAAAAAAAAAAGAGGCGCTGCGGGAATAAAAAGGAAGCAGCAGCAGGTATATCTGAGGGGGAATAAGCGCGTCAGGGCTGCGGAGCGACAAAGGCTGCCACGTTTCCACTGCTTCAAACAACATAACTTATTCAGTAAAAAATATATACAATCTCATCCGCAGGCTACAGCACGAATCATTCAGTCATGTCCAACCTGCGCCCCCCTCCGAACCTTTTTATTCTCTTTGCCTTTTAGGACAGTGGATACCCTGGTTAAACTGAGCTTTAGAAGCATCACAGGCCCCGTTTACACCTGCCGGTTTAAACATGCGTCTGGGATCCGGATCAGTGTTGGATGAGCTTTATTAAAAGCTTAGAGTCACCTTTTAAAAACCAGAAAACAAACGGCTGCTCTCGTTTAAACCGAAAATCCCACTATAATGATCTAAACCCTGTGTTCTTCATTCACTGTGGAATAAAAAAAAAGGGTAATGGTGGCGCTTTTCTTCACATGATAATATTATAAATACTGAAAATTATATTCCTAATTAATGAGAATATTCAGTGGATCTCATTCAGAGCAAAAGAAAAAAAAAACGTCTTTACTTCTAAAGGTGACCGAGGCTGTTAATTTTCGGGAACGTAAAATAATGTAACAAGTGTCCCTAATTACACTGGGTGAAGCTGAGCGTTACTAAAAGTAGTAAATCACACTGATGAGCCCAACACTGATCCGGACTGTGTGTGTATATAATATTTTGTTTACATTTACACCTGTTGTTAAAACTCCATTTGTATGCGTAAAAACTGATTTGCGTCGCCAAAACAATTTCCTTTCCCCCAAAATTAATTGTCCTTTCAACTGACATAAGCTCGTCATTATCAGTCTCCTTGCAGTCCAGTTCTGACGGGAGTTATAGCTCCGTGTTTACAGAGTCTGCAAGTGGCTTTGGATGCAGTCAAATGCGTCTCTGGCCACGTTTTGGTGAGCGAGTCTTCCGTGCGTCTTGGCGCACGCTTGGTTTTTACGCATTCGTCTGAGCAAAATGCGATTCCCCTCAGACGCATGTTCGTGGTGTCAGGTGGAAATGGGGTCAGAAAGAGTGCGACAAGTCTCTGTCTCTTGGACCCTTTGGTCCGCCGCCCGACTTTGGCCCCCAGCTGTGGGCATCACAAGGTGTCCGAGCTGTTACTGCAGGGGCTGATCAGCGCCAGGTTGGTGGCCTTGTGCTTTTTCAACAGTCTCGTGATTTTCTCGTCGTCTGAATTTGGGTCCAGTGGTTTGTTGTACTCGTCGTCGTCCTCGTTGTCCGAGCTCTCCTTCATTTTCTCCGTCTCGGAGTCGTGCTTCTTCTTGGCCGAGGCCATTTCTGCTGCGTGTCTCTTCCGCCATTTGGTTCTTCTGTTCTGGAACCAAACCTGTTGAGAGAGAAGCGCACAGATGCTCAACAGGTCCAGCAAAGACCAACTGAAATGATACAGTGAGGTCAGCTGAGATCAGGTCCAAATAACCACTGATGCAGAAAATAAATACAATTAAA